CCGTGACTTCAAGACGCACTATTGGCCTTCTCTCCGACACTGCATGTAAAGACGCACTAATGGCCTTCTTTATCACACATTAAGAACATAAGTTCCCCCTCAAGATTGGCTTCACCAATTCAATACTTCATTCAAGACATCTCATAATGATGGGGTACATGGAGTATTTATAGGTACCAACTATCTCTAATGCTAATCTTACTAGGAAACTATTAAAACAATTAAATATTAAATTAAAAGGCTAGTAAATATCCTACTACCATAAATTCCTAAATCTACTAGATCTCCTAATGTCTTGACTTGCACTCCAAACAATTCAAGAAGCTCCAAGTCTTGCGCCTCATGTCTCTCCCGCACGCCGCCTCTCTCACGCCGCCCTCGGCTATCCTATTCCTTGGCGCGCGAGGCATCGCGTGCCTTGCCTGCCTCGCACGTGCACGCCCATGCCTCGCCTAGTCCCGCGCGGACTAGGCTTCGTCCGTCTGCCTCGCATGCGCACGCCATTCCTACTCCTTGTAGGACCATGCCTCGGGCCCATATCCACTATTCCTATTCCTACTAGGAATAGGCTCTCGGTTACGTTTCCTGATCTTCCGAGGATTACTCCCGTCACCGATCTCCCACGCGCATTCCGGCACTTAACTGCTATTCCTATTCCTGCGAGGATTAGTATTCGCGCCTTGCCTATTCCTACGAGGATTAGGCATGCCGCCATATTCTTGCCTTGTGCCTCGCGCGTGTCGCCGTGCGCCCCGCACTCGTCGTCCAGCACCCCTATGCCTACGCGGTATAGGCCATCGCCCGCGTCGCACTCGTGCGCCCATGCGCACGCCAACGCGTTCGCCCAACTGCCGCTGAAGTCCTCATGCGCGTGCGTGCAGTCGACCATTACTCCTACTCCTCCGAGGCATAGGCCCCGTCCGCTTCCCTTGCACGCGTCACTCCTCGCGCATCCCTGCAGGACGCTGACTTCTTCGCGGATTAGGACGCCCGCGCTTCCCGTGCACTCGCGCGCTATCTCGTGCTCGTCGCCACTTCCGACCATCCCGCGCGCGTCCCAGCCACCTGCGACAGTCCCGTGCACGCCAGCAGCTCCCGTCTCGCCCGTGTGCCGATTGTCGATCCCCGTGGGCTGCTCGTCTGGCGCTCGCGTATCATCTTGTTCCGTCCATCCTCGCGCA